TTTAGCTTCCTCACGGATGGGCTATGTTGGCTCCATTTCTGGCTGGTTTCTACTATCAGGTCGAGTGGAGGTTTGAAGAGGACCCAAATGCAAAGACGGAAGCTGAAGTGGTTTCTTGGAAGCATCTAAAAGGGAGCTAGGGAAAAGAGACTGACACCAGGGGGCGACAGACGCCAAACAAGAAATAATACATAAGAACTCAACTACAAGGAGAAAACAACACAAAACGGAAAAAGAAACAAATAAAAACTAAAAAAGAAAACCAGGAAAGTGTAGGACAGTGCATCGGCTTATCCTGCCTATGATTGACAGGATGGACTGAACTGTTAAACCAGGTAAGTGACTCAATCTAAAAATCATCTTCTGTTCAGATGATTGTGGTCACTTACCTGTGTTTCTCCCTAAACCAGAGTGTCAGTGATTGGGCAGTGCCCCGCCTCCCTCCTGCAGCCGCCACAAGCCGCAGATCCTTAGCAGCTTCACTTCTGTTCCATCTGTTTATGTTTTTATTTTAATAAAATTTTGAACTTTCCTTCTGGCTGTCTCACCTTGAATACTGGATCCATCTGACCCATTTTATGACAATCCTCATTGCTCTTACTGAGGGGAGGAGGTTGTTCCCCAAATCTAGCAATACATGGCCCTGGTCATCCTTTCAATACAGTGCAGTCGCCCTGACCCATGTGCAGAAAAACACCCCCAAAGCATCATGCTACCGCATGTTTCACAGTAGGGATGGTGTTCTTAGGATGGTACTCTTCATTCTTCTTCCTCCAAACATTGTTTGTTGACCAAAATTTTCTATTTTGGTCTCATCTCACCACATGAGTTTCTCCCATGCAGTGTTGTTTTTCACAGTCATCTTAGATTTAGTCTTAGTCTTCAGGATTAAAATTACCGTATTTTCATGACTATAAGACTATAATATGTTTTTAAGTGAGAAAGTCCACCTGAAAACTTAATCATTGCAGTCAGTTCATCCAGATTACCATCCTGCCTTCTAATATTATTTCTGCGGAGCCGCTCAGACCCCCACATACCAGCGGTGCGCTGTCAGTAGGAATCCCATTCAACAGCAGCCTCTGGCTTGGTCGCCTCCTCGCGGTTCTCCGCGGCTGCTGGTAGGTGTTTTTCATCTAAATAATCTAAACTGCAGGCACCAGGATAATAAAAGCGAACATATTCTGCTGGCAGATTTCTGCATTTTAAGTTAATTTATGCGTCAATAAACTGTCATCAGCGATGTGTCTGTCTCACAGATAGCTCCCAGGTTTGATTAATAATTTGTAAAAAATACATGAATAAAGCACAGA